CGTGGGGAGCTGCGTTGTGCCATCTTGCTCCCCCCTTCTTCCTCCATCTCCATCTCTGTCACTAGCGGAGCACCACACCTGGTGGGTCCGCTACAAGGGTGGTGGGGATGTGGAGGAGTGTATCTCATTCGTCTGTGATGTATAGGCATGTCACCACCCCCGTACTTAGGTCTGGGCCTAGTGTTTCTTCCTCCCATGCTCTAGTGGGGAAGCTAAGCAGGAGTGGGCCTAAAGTGTGCCAACCAGCCATCCAGAATTCCTTAGAGAGGCTGTCTCTTCCTGAGGGCTTTACTGGTTTGCTATCTAGAGGGCTCTGTGTAATTCTTGTAATGTTATGGGTTCTTCAAGTGTTTTAGCCGTTTCTGATGAGATGGATTGACCTAGGTGGGTCAAGAATTTTAATTTTGCTCTGTTCGTTGAGTTGTTGTTGTCTATAGGTGTTTTGGAGGTGTAAAGGTCTTTGTAAAAGGTAGGTGCTATGTTAACTGGTTTTGTTATTTTTGTGGTTGGGTTACCTTTCTCGTCCTGTAGGCATTCTATTTTAGAGTTCCTGGAGTTGACTTTGATCTTCTGGAAGAAGAATTTGGATATTTTTTCGTTCATTTCTCAATCTTTTACCCTGACTCTTAATTGTAGGCCGTTGAGTATTAGTTTAGTCCGTTCCGCCAAATCTTCCTTCAATTTCACAAGTAATTTTGCATAGAATTCTGAGTGTGGATGTTTCTGTAGATTCAATTCTACTATATCTATCGCGTTTCTTAGGGTCTCCTCTCTTTATTTTTTGTATGAGGCTAGTCTTTTGGAAATTTGTGTTATTTTAGTACTAATATGTTTAATGATCTGGGGGAATTTTGTGTGTATGTCCTCGCGGGGTCAGAGTTGTGTTTGTGAGGTTAGCAATGCTTGTAACTCTACTTGGAAGACTTGGCTGGTGAGGAGGGCGTTATTGAAGCGATAAAGGCATTTCCCTATGTAACCCTCCTGGTGAGTTTGATGGCTAGGGATATGGCTTTCTGGTCTAATCCCTTATGATATGGGTTGTCGTGGATGGTACATTCTTGTATGGTCCCTGATAGTGAGTCTGATGTGAGGAAGAAGTCTATTATGAAAAATGATATCCCCCCTGTGCGGTTTTCCTCATGCAGGAGTACCTCTTATTTTTTGGATACAGGAGGCGGTAAGGGTCCAATAGTTTTTTCCTGGTCATAAAGTCATTGAGGTCAGCGCTGTTTGATTGAGGTGTGGGATCTTGAGAGTGAAATTTTGTCTAGGCTAGGGTTTTGCACCGAGTTTTCATCTCCCATGATGAAGGTGGGTGTGAGTGCGAGGATGTGTTGTTCAATCGTGAGTAGGAAGGGGGGTTTGTCTTGTGGAACGTTTGGTTCGTAAATCCCTAAGAGGAACATTTCTTCTTTGGATAACTTAATCCATCACCCTTAGGTGTTGTCTTGGTTGACATTCTGAATTCTTATTGCTTCGCTGACTGTTGATTTCTGGTGGAGAAGGATGACAATCCCTGCTGAGCCGTTGTCTGTAGCTTTGGCCTAGAAGGCCGCTTTGACGTAGGTGAGTTTCCAGGTGATGGCTGATTGTAGTTTATTGTGATCACTACCGTTGGTTAGGTGTGTTTCTTGGAGGCATGTTATGTCTGGGGGGCTAGGGCCAAACAACCTAGTATGGTGTGTGAGATTCCTCCACTTGATCGAGTTGTCTAAAATGAACGTCAAACCGTTGATGTTCAATGACACGCAACTTATTTCAGATTGTTTTCTGATTTCCTTAAGGATTTCTCCTTCAGTGGTGAGTTTGAATATTTTTGCGTTGTTGTTTGTTCCACTTTTAGGTTGGTCGTTAGAAAAATTTTCCATTACTGAATGGAACGGTTAAACCTGTTGTGCGACTGATGGTTGACTCTGGTAGAAAGGTGGGAGGTTTTCTTCTCCTTCTCATCTTGTTCTCATCCTTCTCTTCATTTTCTCCAGAGTCTCCTTCTCATATTTGCCCAACCATAACCCTCTCGTGAAGGCTACAGTGTTGAAGGCGATTCTATAAACTTTGTTTTTTTGACCCGGCAGTGAGTAGGGTATCTCGCAGATCATCACCCAGGATTTCCTTGCCAAGCCCTCCCTCAGATGAGCCTTCTGATCATAAAGGACCAGAACTGGTCTCAGGTCGCTGTACGGCCTTTCCCTGCTGTTGTCTTCCCATAACATGTCCAGACTGTCGTGCTCTATCACTTTCATGGCCAGGGGGCAATCATATGAGATGTTTGTTCTTGCAAAGTCGGAACGTTTGTGCGAGTCTTGTGCTGTGATGATGCCCGGCCATGACCGGACTGCGATTTGCCCTTCCTTTTTGTTCGAGTTGTAGCGAGGACCACGCCCGTCTCAGCACATTGAAACTGTGGACCAAATTTCTTCAGCGTGCTTCTTTTGAACTTAAAGCGATATTTAAGCGCTAAGGTCAATGCACAAGATTCCTTCATTAAGTGAGCTATCGGAAGGGCAAGAAAGAGATCGTGGGGGAGAGGGTGCGCATCAAGTGCGATTGTCATTGTCAAATCTTATGGGTTGTGGTCTCCGGTTTTGTTGAGGGAGTGAATCTTTGCTCCCAACTCCAGATTTTGTTCCTGTTGATGATTTGTTTGCCTCTCAAGAATGACAATCTGTCTTTTTTTTTCCTTCTTAAGGTTGCTCTTTTGCTTGAATATTGCTAGCTAAGGATATCATTTCCATTTCCTCTGTTTCTTGCTCTTTGATTTTGCTGGGATTTAGAGGTACATCCTTACTTGGGGCCACTATGCCCGTGTCTTACGCAGGTAAGAGTTGGGTCACTCGTTTGGTTGCTCATTTGATTGAGGGACTGTGTGTGAAGTTCCTTGTGCTAGTATCAACATCCATTGCACCATTGTGTTGATCAACATATTGCAGGGCCAGAAATTCCAAGGAGGCATTCTCTACTAGCAGCACTTGGTAGCGATTAGGGTTGGTTGGGAACGCACTTGCGACATTTGCGTGCAACTCGTTCTTCAAAATGCTGATGTGCCTGGCATGTGCCAGCCTCAGCCTGATTTCTAAGTCCAAGTCTTTGCGTGCCTGCAGCGAATCTATGTATTCATCCAACAAATTCCAGGGTGTTGTCCAACTCCTCTTCTGGTATTGTAACCTGGCTGGTTGTTGTTGTTTTCGTTGGTGGTGCTACGTCTGGGTGCATTTCGTTTTCCTTCGTCTCAATTGAAATGCTGGTCTCTCTGCTTTTCTTGGTGTCCGGAGATTTGTCTATTTCTTTCGGGTCTTCGTCTTCGTTTCTATTCTTTTTTTTCGCTGGTCCCGAATCCTTCTTGCTTTTGTCTATGTTATTTGGTTCCAATTCGTTTCCGAACTGCAAGATTTCCAGCTATGATTTTTCTCCCTCTCGTCCTATGGTCTGCACATCGTTGAGAATCTGCTTTTTGTGCATTGTCTATTCCAGATAGTCAGCGTTGCCCAGAGCGCCGTTTTCGTATCTGCGTGAAAACCCAGCCCGCATACACGAGTTTGTTGATGATCCAGATGCCCTTCATTGTCTCTACTTCAACCATCATTAAGGGGTCACGGGTGCAGTCTTCTACCTTTCCCTTTTCTCATGTTCAAGGGGCAAAGCGGGTCGTTCCCCATGTGTCCCTTGATCCTGCATCTGAAGCACATGGGGTTCACCTTTGTGGACATGTAAACTGTTGTGACCTTTTGATCTGCTCTGAAATACCATTTGTCACGTTGTTCAAATGGGTTGTTCCCTTTCAATTCAATGCATGTTATTCTTGAGTTGGAGTTGGGGGCAAGGAAGCCTGGGGCTGAAGAGACCCACTCGACCAACGGATACTGAGGGTAATTCAACTTGTCCTGTACCAACTGGTGTACTTCGTCAGCCAGATTGTCAAACTGGATCCAAAAGTGCTTGTATATCAAAGTTTGCTGATGCCTCGAGGTGCCTTGTGTTGCTGCCCTGTTGGGTCTCCATCGGAGACCACTGATCCTTCGCAGTAGAGGGTCTGTACTAAGAGAAGGTAGGCAACGTATTCTGGTTCGGCACACAACACTCTGACAACATTTTCCCCTCCTTGTTGTAAGGCAATTTTGGGGACAACGTCCCTCAGGTTCTCAATGTTCTGAAGAGTGTCGCGGACCCTTTTTCTTTTCTCTGTGGGCGGTAGTTGTTTCAACTTTGCTGGAAAGGAGCAAACGACTGCGTGCTTTCCGTAGAGTTCGTCTAGTACGGGCAGGTGCTCTTTGGGTAAACCCAAACTTCGATTTCTGCTTCTTCGTCCTTGCTGATTTTCACCACTTCTTTAATGATCACTGGTTGAAGCGAGTTTCTTTTATCACGAGGTTGAGAACCTCTTGGCTTGGGTCTTGATCGTTTGTGTCGCGTGTTCTTTTGGAACCTGAGGTCGCCCCTGAACAGGGACTGAGGCAGAGCCTGAGGGTGAGCCAGTGGTTGAGGCTGAAGAAGTTGGTGTGGGGTGAGCAGTCGACATGATGAATGTGGGGTGGAACAAAAGCTAGCAGATGTCTGCCTCCATGCCGGGAGAACTTGAGAACCGGTCTTAAATGGCCAATGCAGCAATGGAAAAGGTAGGAATAAATCTCCTTGACTTGGGAGTTTGGTGTCATAAATTTAAATAGTGATTGAGATGAGACAAGAGTCCTTGCAAACCTGAAAGGGTTTCGCTTCCCCACTTGGGGAGTGTGAGATCAAATCCTGACCAGCACGTGCTACTAAGAATTTTAACAGAGCCTTGCTTCCCCACCCGGGGAGCGTGTGAATGACTTTAGAGTGGCAAGTGCAGTCGAGAGCTTCGCCTCCCCGCTTGGGAAACGTGAATTCAGATTCACTGTGTAACTTGGTTCCTAAGCTTCAATTGCGGCTGGAGAAAGAGCTAGCACTTCACCTCTCCACCTAAAGAGCGTGATATCAGATCTTCAAATTTAGATTGATGAAAGCGTAGCTCCTGGTCTTCGATCGCAGCTGGAGAAAGAGAGCGCTTCGCCTCCCCACCTGGGGAGCGTGATATCAGTTCCAAAAAAAACATTGGATTTTGGCAAGGCTTAGCCTCCCCAACTGGGGAGCGTACGATCAGCTACAGATTTAGAAAAAAGCAAAATGCAATACGAAAGGACTAACTTTCGTCGAGCTTCATCTCCCTTTTCAAAAATAGTCATCTTGAATCCGGATTTGTGAACAAGGAGAGGGACTCAACAGGCGATGTTGTGAGAGCTCGTCCGATTTTTCAGCCGAGGTACACTGCCCGGCTTGAGGTCGGGAAATCGTGTCCAAGGGGGAACGGGAAGCAGAACAACGAAATGTCAAGCAAAGCAAAGGCCAACTTCGGGTTTTGTGTGCCATCAACTTCCAGTAGAGGTTCCTTAATCCGGATGGGGATAAAAACATCATGTTAATAATGGTGTTGCTAATTGTAAGATTTAATAATAATAACAATAATAAATATAATACTGATAATAATCATCCATATAATAATAATAATGATAATATGAGGAGGGTATCAGTGATGATTTGTGAGGAGCAGGTGGAAGGGTTGGATAACGTGGAAAGGGTTGGGGTGGTGTTGGGTTAAAGATGTCGAGGTTTTGGGAGGGAGAGATGTTGAAAGGGTGGTACATGGAGAGTGTGGGTAGGAGAGGAATGGGGGCGACTAGGTGTTGTATGAAGAAAGGGTGGAATGGGGGAGAGGGGGAGAGGGGGGCGAAAGGACGACTAAGAAGTTCGACTGGATTGGTGTTGGGGTTCAGCATGCTGAGTGAGGGGTCAGGTGGGAGGGGGATGGAGAGGGATCAGGTGCTTGGAAGTGAGGATGGTCGGCAGGATGAGGTATGGGGTTTAGGGGGGAAGCTGATCGCGGGGAAAGAGGGTGGGGGTAGGGGGTGTATGCGGGGTGAACGAATGGTAAGACGAGGGGGGAAAAAACGTGTTGATATTTCTGACTTAGTCCCCTATATGACGCGCATCTATTGGGGTATGAACCGCTACGGATCGTGAGTTTTCGCTTGAAACCTTGTCTGTGACTCCCATCGTCTTTGATCTCGACAGAAAGGTCACAATGATTGATGTCAATTGGTGTTGCGTCCGTATCGATGGAACACTCTTCTGGGTAAATGTCGATTCTCTCTTCTTCACTGTCTCGCGCGTTGTCCACTTGTTGTCTCTTATGCTAACAAGTGTAGGATGAAATGGGGACGACAAATCGTACCTTTGCTTTCTGATTGGAGACTGTTCACACCTTGTGTGCCGAAATGATGAAGAGTTAGGTTGTCTTCGTTCCGCTTTTTCTCCCGTCGTGTGAGGCTTTTTTGTTTGTCGGATTCTTCGCCTCTCTCCTCCCGCTTTGTTAAGTTTGCTTGACTCTCTTCTCCTACCCTGTCACTTGGTCCTATCGTTTTGTGTTCTTAGTAGCAACCCTTTTCTCTTTCCACTTCCTTCCTAGAACGAAGCTTTTTCCTCCTCCTCCTCCCTCTTGTGGTCCTACTTCCTTTGTCGGGATGTGAAGGGCCACGCCCAAAAGCGTGGCTTAGTGTGAAGACTGGTTTCCCGACCCTTCCTTTCCTTTTACCGGCTACGACTAAATCGAGGGATGTGTGCTCACTGCCACGAAGTGTGTTCTCGTCCACTTATGTAGCTGCACGATTGCGACTTTGTCTCTTTCCAAAAATAGAAGGAATACTACCTTTCTTTCCAACTTTCGTGAAATTCAATCTGTTTTTTTCCTCTCTTATGCTTCGCTGTAACTTTCTCATCCTTTCCTTTTCCCCTTCTCTAACTCCGCCTTTACCTCCTCTTTCCCTCTTGTGACACTCCTCTTCTTACTCGGATGGGGGAAGCCAGACCCGAAGGTGTGGCTTGTCGTGGCGTGTCGTGGCAACGCTCTCCCCTCCTCCTAGTTGTTCTCGCCCGCTTCGAATTCGTAACAGGGAGATGTGTGCTTACCCACATGCGGTGCAACTTCCCTCGGCGAATGAAAAATTACCGCGGCACTGGCGCAAAAATTAGCGTTGTCGAAATAGCGCTAAATTGCGAACCGGTCGACGCTAGCGCTCCATTCGCCAGGTTTGGATGGTTGTGACTTTTCACCTTGCACAGGATACTAATTTGTTAATTAGCCTAAAAATAAAAAATAAAAATAAAAAATAAAATAAAACAATTTATTAACTGATACCACGCATGGCGTGGGGGCGCAGTCAGGACGGCGGGGGAAGCACCAAGCTCATATCCGGCATACAAACCAATCCCAATAGACATACTACCTGGCTGCACAAAACCGAACGCTGCATTGCATCAACAACCTGGCGAACCTGACCTCACAAAACAAACTAAACTGTGGATGTGATTGCAGTCAGATACATTTACTAGGCCCGTTTGAAATAAAATTCCAAGGTTAAAAAAAAAAAAAAAAAAGATGGCGATGTATCTTTTCATGTTCTAACGAAGGATTCAGTCTCATTTTGCACGGTCAGAGAGTAGCACCGCAACAAAAGCCCCCGGTGCGCGCACAACAAGGATCAAAATCGTGTTTAATTTTCTCCTTCGTCGATCTTCCAATTTAATGAACGGTCAGATAACCGGTTCCCAACTTTCCTGTACTGGAAACCGGGCGTAGCCCGCAATTCATCCAAAGATCGCACCAAAAATATAGAAAATAAAAATAATAAAAAAATCCACCTTGCCCGAACTCAAAGAGATCTCTGTTGTCGTTTGTCCTTTTCGATATCCATCAAAATTGGTACACTACAGAAGAGGATAACTACTAATTAGCAAAATGGCCCCTGTGCATCCTTTACTCGGCACAAGCTATCAAGTCCGAGCCTCGGCCGACCGGTAGGCAGTTCCGTGCCAAGGCCCGAACTACTAGGCATTCAAATCCCGGAGCTGCTGTTGAAAGAAACACGAACGAAAAGAGAAAAAAGAAAAGAAAAAGCAAATACGAGAACATTAAAAAAGAAAGAAAAGAAAAAGCAAATACGAGAACATTAAAAAAGAAAGAAAAGAAAAAGAAAATACGAGAACATTAAAAAAAAAAAAAACGATCAGAAAC